CTGTTTTTTGGGACAGTCATGGAATTGTGTTGATCGACTATCTTGAAAAAGGTAAAACAATAACAGGGACGTACTACGCATCATTGCTTGACAAGCTGAAGGCAGAAATTGAGAAAAAACGACCGCATTTGAAAAGAAGAAAGTGCTGTTCCATCAAGCTAACGCACCGTCTCACACTTCGGCGGTCGCTATGGCAAAAATTCACGAATTGCGGTTCGAATTAATTGACCATCCACCATATTCACCAGATCTGGCCCCCAGCGACTTTTTTCTGTTTCCTAGGTTCAAAGTTTGGCTCGGAGGGCAGAAATTTTCATCGAACGAGGAGGTCATCGCATCTATAGACGTCTATTTTGCAAAACAAGACGGTCAGTATTATTTGAATGGATTAAAGGGGTGGGAGCATCGCTGGAAAAAAATGTATCGACTTAAAAGGAGATTATGTGGAAAAATAAAATTGAATTTGACCGAAAAATTACTTGTTTCTATGTCAGGCTCAAAACTGTTCAGACGACCCTCGTACCTCTGCCGACCGAACGTACACTTCGAAGGAAACTGGAAAGTATCGAATTTGAAGAAGGAATTAGTAAAGATAGTTTTAAATTACTAGCTGATAAGGTCGCTCAGTTTCAAGACATTAAAGAAAGAGATTGTATGCTTGCATTAGACGAAATGGTTATAGCACCAGGTCAAAAATTAGACCCATCGACACAGTCATATTGTGGACTTGCATCATTTTGCACACGTGATGGTATTGATACATGGTTTTTTTCCTAAAAGTACCTTTGGCAAGTCTTGAAAAATACTTATTTTCATCCTATTTCTTTTAAAAATTGTTTCCACATTCTTTTTTTTCATTAACAAACACATGTATATACTTGGGAAAAAATGTTATATATAATTATATAAAATTATGTATAACTTTATATAATTTTACATAAAATATTTTTTCTCGGGTATAATTTTTATAACTGGGTATCAATTATGAAACCTTAGGATGAAAAGTGAAAAGTGAAAAATGTCTCCATTAACTTTAATGGTAAAAATTTTCATTTTTTCACTTTCCATTCTAGGGATAAAGTTTCATGATTGATACCCTGTATTAAGTCTGCGGCACACGATACTTATTTTCTTGCTGGATTCCTAGTTGGATTAG